TAATCTAACATGTGTCTGTTTACCTATCTATCTATCTAGCCTCCCAGAGACAGAGAGAGATGTTGATAGCTAGGAAGGTGGATAGATAGATAGATAGATAAATAGATAGATAGATAGATAGATTTGAGATCAATAGATAGATAGAGATAGATAGGTAGATAGGTAGAGAAACAGGTAGATCGATAGATGGAAGGATGGACAGAGAGATAGATAGGAAGATAGAGAGCGAGAGAGATGTAGCTAGGATGGATATCGAGAGAATAGATGAGGGCTTGCCTCTATCAATACATTGCATGCCTTTTTACGCGGGCGGGGAGGGGCCCTACGGGCTTGCCGACCCGGCAACATCTACCATTATGTGGTTAATTTACCCCCAATCTTGCGGGCACTTTAGCCCCAAATTTTGTGGTGTTTTACACCCATGTGTGTGGGTAATTTTCCACCCAATTTTGGGGTAATTTACCCCCCAATTTTGGGACTTGTTATTTACCTCAAAACTTGAAAATTGGGGGTAAATAACGAGTCCAAACATTGGGGGGTAAATCCCAGGTTTCCCAACGGTATACGAAGATTACCCCCCCATTTTTGGACTCGTTTTTTACCACCAGTTTTCAAATTTGGGGTAAATAACGAGTTTCAAAATTGGCAACAACATTTGGGCTAGCTTCACGAAATTGGGGGTAGATTTGAGGTAAATTTGTGGTAAAGAGTTACTGCTACAGGCAAGGCTTAAGAGATAAATACTAGCATAGTGGAGAAAGAGAGAGAGAGAGTGTGCGAGCAGACAGATAGGTAGATAGAGATAGATGGATTAATAGATAGGTTGATAGGTTGATAGATGGATGGATGGATGGACAGATCGATAGATGGATTCTCTCTTTCTCTCTCTTTCTCTTTTTCTCTCTTGCTCTCTCTTTTTCACTATCAATCTAGCTATTCATCGGTGGGAGAACAGAAAAGCGCAAAGGGCGTGGTTGTGTGCGTGACTTAGAGCCTCCGAAGAGCTCAAAGCTAGCCTGTTCGCGGCCCCTGGTCGGAGTGCGTTCGGACCACGTTCGGACACTTTCGCAAGGTCACGTACAAATTCCCTATGGCAGGCGTAGCGCTTTTGCAAGGTCAAGCTCAGATTTCGTGGCAGGGCCATCAGTTTTGCAAGGTCGAGTGCGTATTTCGTGGCAGGCGCAGCACTTTCGCAAGGTCATCGCGTGCGTGTTCCTTCTCTTGTCATCTGTCTCAGAGAGAGCTGGCCTTCAATTAGTTGCTGTAACGCGAAAGTTGCCTGTTTTTTCTTTTCAACTTCGGGGGGATAACGCCGCCCATCAGCAGAAGAGGCATGTGCGGGGCAATTTTCCATGGTGAATATATGAGTTTTCTGTGCTTCACTACTGGAAACACCTCGTTTGTTTCAAAAAAGCAGGTTTTCCGCACACCCTTCCAGCAAAACACGCGAAATAAGGGTTTTTGTGTTTTCATGTGTTTTGTGGAGCCAGTGTGCTTATTAGGTGGCAGGTGTGGATACACTGCGGAGCGGGTGCGCTTGAGCGGGTGAGCGGGTGCGCTTGAGCGGGTGTGCTTTTTTGGTGGCGCTTGGGCGGGCGTGCTTATGAGACACACTGCTGGCACCTGGATACACTGCTGAGCGGGTGCGCTTGAGCGGGTGTGCCTTTTTAGGTGGCAGGCGTGGATACACTGCTGAGTGGGCGCACGTGAGCGGGTGTGCTTATTAGTGCGCAGTGCGGCGACTACGCGCTTGAGCACAAGAGTTTTGGCATGCGTGGCGCCAAGAGAAGCCGCCGTAATTCAGCGAAAATTGCAGTGTTTTCTGTGTCCGACGCAAGAAAACGATGGTACATGCAGTATTTTGAGAGTGTCAGAAGTGCGAAGAGAAGGCTGCTGCGGTTCACTGCAAGTTCCAGTCCGTTCTGCGTCCCACGCAAAAAACGCTGGTATTTGCAGTACTTTGAGAGTGTCAGAAGCGCGGCGCTATCTCCTTGCGGAGAGAACAACCTACTCCGGCTCCTACTACTTTTTCGATTACTACTACTACTACTTTTACTACTACTACTACTACTACTACTACTACTTCTACTACTACTACTACTACTACTACTACTTTTACTACTACTACTTGTACTCCTACTACTACTACGACTACTACTACTACTCCACTACTACGACTACTACTACTACTACTACTACTACTACTACTTGTATTCCTACTACTACTACTACACTACGACTATTTCTCCTGCTTTTACTACTACTACTACTACTGCTACCACTACTACTACTAAGCTACTACTGCTAGTACTAAGTTAGTACTAAGCTACTACTGCTACTACTTCTGCAACTTCCACTGCTACTACCTACCACTACCACTAGCACTAGCACTACCGCTACCACAACCGCTACCACCACTATTGCTACTACGCAGTAGTACTACGTACTACTACTGCTACCTGATTTTGAATCCTGAATAGTGATTTTTGATCCCTCAGCCCACATCTGCAGGCTTGCAACCAAGATGGAAGCAGCGGAGCACCTGGGAACGCAAAGGCGGTTTGTCTATGTGCAGGGCTGACCCAGGATCAGCGCCCAAAGCCGTTGTTGGGCTCCCTTGTTTGAAAAACTAAACACTACGTGCTTGGCACGCCTTGCATGATTGCGCGCACTGTTCACCTGGGAAATGAGGAAGGAGGGCGCCAAGCCTTCTGGTGGAGAGAAACCGGACACGCGCAGAAGATGTCTTGAACGGCCTCATTTTTGGGCTGACACAACTGTCGTGTTCAGCGCAAAGATGTTCCCACGCAGGAGACTGTTTCGAGTCCAAGCAAGCCGGCGGCAGAGAGACTTGGAAGCATACTGTATGAAGTGAACCTTTGGTGCTCATGTTTCAGCAAGAAAACAGACTATATCCTGGCCCCTGCTGTTCGCTGCCAGGAAGCCAGAGAGCACGAAGAAGGAAGATGCTAAAAAGGAGGTGAATGCCGAGCTATTGCAACAGATGCTGGATGTCATCCACGCAAACCGCACCATGGCAGCACTGCCAGTGGTTGTGTATCCTTTGTTGTCATGAATGCATTATTGCATGTCAAGCAAGAGAAGTGACTAACCCCATCCAGATCGAAAACCTTAATCCCATGATCGGATGCTTGGCCGACCCGTTTGCAAGCAATTTGTCGTTCGAACTCATGTCAGCGCAGAAAACCGAAAGCACTTTCAACTTCGCCCTCACATCACAGGAGGCTAGAGACAAGAATGAAATCCAAAGAGCGCATTATTATGGACGAGCTGAGGAGAAAGCACTGTGTGGGGGCCAGTTGGAACGGCTGAAAGCACCACTAGTGGGGACAAATTGAACTTGGCGGGAATCCTTAACACATTGGACGGCGTCGTGGACACTCCCGGCCGTTTGCTCGTGATGACGAGCAACCACCCAGAAAAATTGGATCCGGCATTGATCAGTGTCTTGCCCGGATTTGGCCTGCTGTATTGCCAGTATTGCCATGGTGTTTGCAGCTGTGGTGCCAGCGAGCAAATACTGTCGAGGACCTGGTCGCATTGACAAGATGTTTCACTTGACCTACATGGTTGGCGAACAGGCCTGCAAAATGATCGCCCATTATTTCCAGCAGGACGATTGCGACATGTTATTTCCTGGTTTGTTGGCGGTTCCTTGTTGACGACATATTGAGCACTGACGTTGCAGGAGTTGGAAGAGGAACTCATTTCTCGCCGCCTTGCTCGCATGGATGATTCTCAACATACTTGCTCTGTTGGTTCTGGATCTGTTCTTTTTCTTGTTCAGCACCGCCAGAGTCAATGTTCACGCAGTATTTTCAGACAACCAGACATCACGTGAAACATATCCAAGGCGGCTTCATGCTTGAGACATACCTGAGGCATTTGTATGTTGATGGGAGGCGGCCCTGAGACGAAGGCAGGGCGATGTTGGCTTTGCTCCATAGCAGCTCTCCTGAAAAGCTGCAGATGCTTTTGAAAGGCATTAGAGATCACTCCGGCGCGTTTGGAGCAGCTTTGTGCTGAGCACGACGAGGTGAAGGCCGACCTATTGCCACATTGACATGCCTGGCATTAGCTTAGTTTTGCCACAGGCGCTGTGTGAATCGCTGGAGCAATTGGCTGCACCTCAGAAGGCCGAGCTGTGAATGGCAAAGCAAACAATTGCCCAGGGAAGAAAGCAATTGCACCGGAGCGATAGTCAAAACCTGGGTAGATGAAGGTTAGTAAGGGATAATCCCCAACCATAAATGGGTGCAGCCGCCTTGTTGGTTCTTTACACAAGTCTGGGTGCATCATTTTAGTACCAGGGTTTGATTATGACTTACCTTGTCGCTTTGTCTCGCTTTTTCATCCCTCTCATGCCCTGATGCCTTTCATTGGTCAATGGGATTTTTTGCTCCCAGCGAAAATCAGATTCGCCTCTTTGTTGGTCTGACGGGTTTACTTGCAAGTAAGGAGATGTTGACTGTTTGCGTTTTGTTGCACGTAGTAGATTCACCCGCAACGAGCTGTTGTAAGACATCTAGCAGTCAACATGCGTCCCGCGACGAGCTTGGCTGACAGGTTACTGTGCAGCGTTCTGAGAGCGCTACCTGCCTGCACTATGACAGACCGCGTCAGCCCTGGGTCTCCCCACAAAGGGTTCCCAAATGGTTCAGCCTTGCCAGGTCAACGTTGAAACCACACTTGCGCTGCAGCGCACCGCAACAGCTCCACCTGGAGTGTCTGCTCTTCCAACTGCAAAGCGGTGGTAGATGCAGGATTGTTTACAGAAGTCATGAGGCTTGGTTGGATAGGTGTCGTCAACCGTACAAGATGATGAGACGCCCTAGATCGACTGAAGTTGGGCATGATTTTGGCTGATACCAAAATCAGCCTGAATTTCGCCGAATGACCAAAACTTGCGCTGCTGAAGCTCTCGCTCGGCTGAAAAGCTGAAAAGGCCTTGGCATCTTCCAGGGACATGTTGCAGCCAGGTCCTTGGGCGCCGAATCCTGGAAGCCCTGACCACCGCTTACGGCACCTTTCTCAGGCGAAGGTTTCCTCGGTGTCTGGTGACTGGTGACTGCCAGGGTCTGAGGCTTTTATATCAGATCCGAGGCAATATGATCTTTTCATCGGGCTTCATTCACGGCGATCCGCATCCAGGGTGCCTTACGTTTGTGCGGTCCTGTCCAACATGCATTCCCATTTGCAATGCTTTTTGGATGCTTGCATGCGCCACGAAGCATTGCTGCAGGAACATCTTTGTTCTCGAGGGCGGCAAAGTGGCCCTCATTGACTGTGGCCAGGCTGGAGTGCGCGTTGTGAGGTAAAGGGCAGTGGAGTTCTGTGCAATGTAGTGAAATGTAAGCGCTTCCTTGCGCTTGCTTTGAACCTGCCAGGTGGCACAGCTCTTTCGCGGCCAAAGGCTTCTGGTTGCTGAGGCCTGCACTGATAGCACATACAACCATTGCGCCAATGGGTCTGATGCTGATAGCCAAGAGGTCGTTCTTGCAGCTGCTGCTTACGACGGCAGCAGGGACATGATCGAGCTGCTTGTTCTTGCCTTTCGCTCTCATGGGTTGCTTGAGTAGCCTTTCGCACGTTAGGCAAGATGTGTCCGCAACTTTGGTGTGACCTTCTTCGAAGGCCGCGCAGTGATGAGTATGCCTTTATTCACTGTAGTTGTTATGGGTGTACTGCAGCAATATCAGATGCTGTTGATGCGCCACCTTTGCTTTTGGGTCGTACAGCCTGGCGGCAGTTCTTGGATTTGTTTGCACAGAGGCCAAGAGGATGAAGACGCTTGTGCAGCCCGTGCCCCAGAGAGTGCACCGGTTGTCGAAGTAATGAGTGATGGGTGCCGCGTGCAGCCAATGGTTCGGCACCAGAGGCTCAAGGCTTTAGGGTGAGATGGATGCGAGTGGTGATGTTTGAATGAGTTGCCTGAGGCGAGTGTAGCGCTTTACCTCTTTGGGGAGCAGGTAGCGGTCAGAGGCTAAGGTGCCAATGGTTTGCCCTTGGCTGCCAGGACGTTGAATTTCCCGGCGGATATTCCAAAAAGGCCTTCGGAAGACATTCAGTATGCAAGTTTCCGAATATTCCCGTCGAGATGCAAGCTCCTGTCAATTGCAGGAATTCTCCGCAGAAAGCCCTCTGCGGCAGCGTGGAGCTCATGCGCATCCCATTTTGTGCTGCCCGCAGTGTTACTAGGCTGTCTTCATTTCCAATGGAGCTGGTGCTGCTCGGAAGGGCGTGCCAGGCTCAGACTTGGCTTGCGAAGTGAGGGTCAAAGAGGTACAGTATATTGCAGACATTAACAAAGAGTGTCTCGAGGGCTCAGTGTTCTTTGTCAGAACCACTGCTTGCTACCAAGGTCGGTTCTGGTGAAGGCAAGCATAGCATTTTCTCTGACTCAAAGACTGATGTCACGGATTCGGTTTGATGCATTTCTTCACACCTTGGTACTCCACGCGTTTGTTCTACTGGCAACCTGCCAGGGAGTGGCTGCCCGACTGGGGGTGGAGTGGAGCGTGGCCAAGAAGTGGGAGCCCCTGGCAAAGGACGGGTCAAATTTGGTATCCCTCTGATATCGCTTGCAGGGAATTGGTTCCTTTGACGGTCTTGGTTTGCTGCATAAATAATTTAGGGCCATGTCAGCAGAAACTACACTGCACTCAACGCAGCGTATTTTACCCGAAAGCTCTGCACTGGCCTTGCACTATTGCGCAGTTTTGCTCCTGGTCACGAATCTATAGTCCAGGACACCATTGCTGCCCTTTGCGACGAGGCAGCTGTTCTTGGAATTGCAGCCTTGATTGAATCTGGTTGAGGATGAGTGTCGTCTTCCCTCTTGGGCACTCCCAACTGTTCAGCACTCAAATTTCTACGTGTGTGATTTAGCCAGTGAGTCAAGTGCCTTGCTTTGAGGCAAATGTTCATCCTTCTGAAGGAAATGCCGAGCGCATGCGGTTGAGCGATGCTGCCAAAGGTTGCCAGAGCCTTGTACTCAGTACTCAGACAGCTGCGTGACACGAGAACCGCAGGCGCCGCTCTAATTCGCCGCTGGGGCATTGAGAAGGCAATGGCATGCTCTTGATGCTCTTGCCGATGCACTGACTTTGCACTCTTTGCAAACCTGCCCAAGGCTGCAAGCATGCTAGCGCGCCAAAGAGAGCGCAAGGATAGCCTTTGTGCCATGGAGAGTGTTTGCTGCCGCGGCCGTCCCAAGATGTTCCTTTGTTTTATTTTCTGGGCCTGCGGCCTCTAGCTGGCTACGCCTCTTTGAAGTTATACCATGTTATGTCATGACTTTTGTATGAGAAACGTGGTCAGGTTATGCATGTTGCCCACCCGATGCCGGGGATGCCAGCTTTCTGGGCCCCAGCCGGGCCCCAACCCAGAAGGCTGACATGGGGTCGCGCGCGCGCGCGCGCCAGCACCGTAAATAGCAGCGTTTTGTGGCTGGGGTTGCGCGCGTGCGCGCGCCAAAAGGACAGAACAACAGCCCACCGCTCAGAACAGCAGTTTTTGACGGTATTTACAGCGTTTTGTAGAGCGAGGATCGCCGGCATGCCCGGCAGCGCTTGGCGCCAAAATGCGCGAAAATGAGCCTCGCTTATATCCCTCCGATACCTTCTAATAAACAGTGCTTCATGGGTTGAGAGGCTTTTTGGAAGGAAGTCTTGATGATGCAGACCCGCTGAAGCATCACCTAAACCCTGCATATACGCGGTGTTTTGCGAGGGTTTCCCACAGGCAAGCAAAACCGCAAGACCCGAGCTGGTGATGCAGAGGTGCCGGATTTAGGCAGCGCATCACGACCAAGTGGCGCGGGTCGGCGGCGCCAGGGTGCAGCCCCTATAGCTAAAGCTAGCAGGCTAATTGCCTGGCGGCGACATGCTACAGGCGTAGCCGGATTTAAGGGCTGCCGCCCAGTGCCGCTGACCCCCTCTCTGGGGCTTGATAGGATGATGATGCTGGTGCGCTGGTGATGTATTTGGTGTTTGCTGGGTGGCCACAACTCCCGAATATCTGAGGACAACCCCAGTAAAGTGAATTGCCGCAGCCATTTTTTGCTGCAAGCTTTGCGATATTACTCGATTTTGTTGGTATGCGCAGCTTTGAATATCCGACATGCTTGCGATGCAGCAACTTAGTATTGAAACAATATCTGGATAAATGAAATACGGTCAACCGCTGGTGCGCGGGCCTGCTGCGCGGCATTGCCACAAGAGGCCGGCTGGTGGGTCGGTTTCGAGAAGCGGAAATCGATTTCGGTCGGGTCAGTTGATTCTCAATTTCCGTTCTGAATGAGCTCTGCAAGCCCGAAGGCAAGAAGCGATCCCACGCACGTGGGGGCAGGCGCGTTGAAGAGTGAGCCGGGCTGCTACACCAACAAGGTTGGTCTCTGGCCTCAAGATAGTGGCAGCTCTTCCGGATGAGCTTTGGGTGGTGGGAACCCTCAAAAACGATCCAACTTGCCGTGTTAGGTTGATTTCTGGCCTCGGATGGCTGCAGCTGTTCTGGATGAGCCTTGCGAAGTGGGAACCCTCAAAAACGATGTAACTCGCCGAGTCAGGTTGATTCCTGGCCTCGGTTGGTTGCAGCTGTTCGTGGCCTGTTTTGTTGATTCTTGTCGGTACTCCCGGGCACGACCCCTCCCCTATTTTAGGCCGTTGCTGGCTGGCCTCTAGTCTTGCCTGCCTTCCTTTCTTCCTGCCTGCTTGTTTTGTTTTTCGTTTTCGATCCGCGTGTTTGCTTTCTTGCTTGCGCGTCTGTTTGCCGGCCTGCCGGCCTATTTGGATATAACCCCTGGAGCCGCTTCAAGCGGAAACTGGCATAGTCGTCGGGTAAAGCACGCGGGGGAGGAGGACGCACAAATCGAGAGCGCGCCGTCGTACTTCAGGCGCCGTGCGAAGGGAGTGTTGTTCTGAGGTTGACTTTGGCTTGCTAGAAGAGGGGAGAACAGAAGAGACAGTTTCATGCCCTGAGCACGCGATCCGAGGGGATTGACCCGAGGATTCACCATGGTCGGGGTTACGCGGAGATTGATCCGCGTACGCGTGTGCAGGGCTTGAAACCGTCTCCAATTTTCTCCTCTGTTCTGGCAGGGGGGCGGGTTGATGGGGGGTGATGATGACGTTGGTGCGCTGGTGATGCATTTGGTTTTTGCACAGCCCCCGGGTGGCTATAACTCCCGACCCCCCGGGGACAACCCCCGTAAAGTGAATTGCCGCGGTCATTTTTTTAAGCTTTTTTGTTTTGAGGGAGGTGTTTTTCTGTGGTTTTGTCCAACCCGAACGGTGCTCCCAGGTACCGCCTCGGCCTTGCCTCGGGCTGTTTTCGGTTTGTGGAGACGCGGGGACGAGGGATTCCTGTGTCTGTGATTCCGCTTTTTGTGGCCCGTTTTGCTGATTCTTGTCGGTGCTTCCGGGCACGACCCCTCCCCTATTTTAGGCCGTTGCTGGCTGGCCTCTGGTCTTCCTAGCTGCCTGCCTGCCTGCCTTCCTTCCTGCCTGCCTTTGTTTTTTTCGTCTTCGTTTGCATGCTGATTGTTTTGTTGGCTGCTTGTCTGAGGAAACAGAGTGACTTCAAAAGATAGAAAAATATTGAGTCACAAGATAATGCTTTTGAGTTTGAGGTTCCGTGGACCTTCCATTCCAGGAATTAACTTCTGATTGAATTCTCAGCCCTTGCATTTGCGACTTTGGGATTAACTCTGGAGGCAATCCCCTGGGCGGCGGGAACCGTCATCCAGAACCGTCATCCTCATCATCCTCATCATCACCCGCATCATCATCATCCTCACCATCCTCATCCTCATCATCATCCTCATCATCATCCTCATCATCATCCTCATCATCATCCTCATCATCATGAGTATTAGCATCATAATGATCATCATCATAATCCTCATCATCATCATCATCCTCGCCTTCATGTTCACCCTGATTACCACCATGATCTTTATCATCATCATCATCATCATCATCATCATCATCATCATCATAATCCTCATCATCATCCGCATCATCATCATCCTCATCATCAGCATCATCAGCATCATCTCATCATCCTCATCCTCATCATCCTCATCCTCCTCATCATCATCCTCCTCATCATCATCCTCACCATCAGCCCATCATCATCATCATTATCATCATCATCATCACCCTCATCATCATCATCATCATCCTCTCATCTTCATCATCCTCATCATCACCCGCATCATCATCATCATCCTCACCATCATCATCCTCATCATCATCATCATCCTTATTAGCATCCTCATCCTCATCCTCATCATCATCATAATCCTCATCCTCATTCTCATCATCCTCAGCCTCCTCATCATCATCCTCACCAGCAGCCCGTCATCATCATCATCCTCATCCTCGCCCCACCCTGATCACCTTTTTTAATTTTTATCATCATCATCCTCATCATCATCTTCATCATCATCATCATCTTCTCATCATCATCATCCTCACCATCATCCTCATCATCGGCATCAGCCTCATCATCCTCATCCTCCTTGTCACATCATCATCATCCTCACCATCATCCTCATCATCGTCATCAGCCTCATCATCCTCATCCTCATCATCCTCCTCCTCATCATCATCATCATTTTCATTCTCACCATCATCATCATCCTGTCCCTCATCATCATCATCCCCAGCTTCCTCATCATCATTCTCATCATTATCCTCATCCTTTTCATCCTCACGACCATCATCATCCTCACCATCATCCTCATCATCCTCATCATCATCCTCGTCATCATCCTCATCATCATCATCATCATCATTATAGTCCTCATCATCATCATCATCATCATGATAGTCCTCATCATCATCATCATCATCATGTCTCTCATCATCATCATCATCATCATCATCATCATCATCATCATCATCATCATCTTCCCCCTCATCCTCACCCCCATCCTCGCCCTCATCCTCATCCTCATCATCATTCTCATCATCATCATCTTCATCGTCCTCCCTCATCATCCTCACCCTCATCATCATCATCACCCACCATCATCCTCATGATCCTCATCATTATCCTCATCATCAGCATAATCCTCATTCTCATCCTCATCATCCTCATCCTCATCATCCTCATCATCATCATAATCTTCATCCTCATCGTCATTATCCTCATCCTCATCATCCTCATCCTCATCATCCTCATCATCATGATTCACCATCATCCTCATCATCATCATCATCATTTTCATACTCAGCATCATCATCCTCATCATCATCATCGTAATCACCCCTCCCCTATTTTAGGCCGTTGCTGGCTGCCCTCTAGTCTTTCTAGCTGCCTGCCTGCCTGCCTGCCTGCCTGCCTGCCTGCCTGCCTGCCTGCCTGCCTGCCTGCCTGCCTGCCTGCCTGCCTGCCTGCCTGCCTGCCTGCCTGCCTGCCTGCCTGCCTGCCTGCCTGCCTGCCTGCCTGCCTGCCTGCCTGCCTGCCTGCCTGCCTGCCTGCCTGCCTGCCTGCCTGCCTGCTGCCTGCCTGCCTGCCTGCCTGCCTGCCTGCCTGCCTCATCCTCACCATCATCCTCATCATCCTCATCATTCTCATCCGAATCCTCATCATCATCATCCTCCTCCTCATCATCATCATCATCATCATTTTCATTCTCACCATCATCCTCATCCTCCTCCTCATCACCATCATCCTCATCATCATCATCAAACTCCTGGAATGGAATGCGTAGGCAGGCATGAAGCAAACGGTCATCCGTGGCAATGCTGTACTTGCAAGTCCTGGCAGCCCACCACCGCCTTCCACAGCAAATGGCGAAGCAACGGAGCATCACTACGATGTGTGTGTCTGAACTGCAAGGAAACCAAGCGATGCCAGAAGTGCGGGGAACTAAAGGAAGAAGCACAGATTAGCGCGGCTGCTTGGCGCAGGCGCGACCTATACCGACGCACGTGCAAGAAATGTGCTCGGAAAGAGCGAGGCTTGTGGAAATGCGCCAGCTGCGCCACGTCGCGACCAAAGCGGTGCTCTGCGCGGTACACACGAGAGCGACACGGCGTCCGGAACGGCAAACAGACGCGCAACACGTGTTTGGCAGAGCGAGACCTGAAACAAACTGCTTCTAGAAGCAAGGCACGACTTGCAAGACACGAGAGCAGAAGATTCTTGCAGAGGTCTGGCGTCTGGTTGGCCAAATGCGAAAGACACAAGGTAGCGGTACGAGAACGTGCAAGAAAGATGTTACTGGCTAGCCCGAGAAGGACTGCTGCAGCAGGGACTTGTGCGTGATTGCCAAGCCATGCCATCCGGAGCACCAACCCAACAACGTTATGCGCCAAATAAGGCTGATGACGCCGATGACCCGCGCCATGAGGATGCTGAGTTCAGTATTGACTTTCCTTGTTGTGAACAGCTCATCACCAGCAGTCATCACGATAATCCTTGTGCATCTTAAACCGGATGATAAGCATCATGACGTAGCCTCAGCGTCACCAGCAGTCATCATGATAATCCTGTCCACGCATCTTTTGCATCTCACTTCCGATGATAATCATCAGGATGCATCCTCAGCATCACCAGCAGGCATCGTGATAATCATGTCCACGCAGCTTTTGCATCTCAAATCGGATGAAACCCATCACGACGCATCCTCAGCATCACCAGCAGTCATTACAATAATCATGTCCACGCATCTTCTGCATCTCCAACGGTGCCTAACGAGACACTTGAAACGTATAGAAGAAAAAGATGATGAGGACAATCGTGATGAGGATGATTGTGTTCATGATGATAAGAGTAAGAATAAGACTGATGATGACCTTCGCATTATGATTGATGATAAGAGTGATGACGACCTTCGCATCATGATGATGATGATAAGAGTGATGGTGACCTTCATGATAATCGAACCAATCATCACCATGCATCCCCATCATCAGCAGTCATCATGGTAATCCTGTCCACGCATCTTTTGCGTCTCAAATCGGACGATAATCATCATGACGCATCCTCAGCATCACCAGTAGTCATCACCACGCATCCTCAGCATCACCAGCAGTCATCATGATAATCATGTCCACGCATCCTCAGCATCACCAGCAGTCATTACAATAATCATGTCCACGCATCTTCTGCATCTCCAACGGTGCCTAACGGGACACTTGAAACGCGTAGAAGAAAGAGATGATGATGACAATCATGATGAGCATGATTGTGTTGATAATCATCATGACGCATCCTCAGCATCACCAGTAGTCATCACCACGCATCCTCAGCATCACCAGCAGTCATCGTGATAATCATGTCCACGCATCCTCAGCATCACCAGCAGTCATCACGATAATCATGTCCACGCATCTTCTGCATCTGCAATGGTGCCTAACGGGACACTTGAAACGTATAGAAGAAAGAGATGATGATGACAATCATGATGAGCATGGTTGTGTTGACGATAATAAGATCATCATGACGCATCCTCAGCATCACCAGTAGTCATGTCCACGCATCCTCAGCATCGCCAGCAGTCATCATGATAGTCATGTCCACGCATTCTCAGCATCACCAACAGTCATCATAATAATCATGTCCACGCATCTTCTGCATCTTTAATGGTGCCTAACGGGACACTTGAAACGTATAGAAGAAAGAGGATGATGACAATCATGATGAGCATGATTGTGTTGATAACCATCATGACGCATCTGCAGCATCACCAGTAATCATCACGACGCATCCTCAGCATCACCAGCAGTAATCATGATAATCATGTCCACGCATCCTCAGCATCGCCAGCAGTCATCACGATAATCATGTCCACACATCTTCTGCATCTCCAATGGTGCCTAAGGGACACTTGAAACGTATAGAACAAAGAGATGACGATGACAATCATGATGAGCATGATTGTGTTGACGATAATAAAATCATCATGACGCATCCTCAGCATCACCAGTAATCATCACGACGCATCCTCAGCATCAACAGCAGTCATCATGATAATCGTGTCCAAAAATCCTCAGCATCACCAGCAAGTCATCGCGATAATCATGTCCACGCATCTTCTGCATCTCCAATGGTGCCTAACGGGACACTTGAACGTATAGCAGAAAGATGATCATGACAGTCATGATGAGCATGATTGTGTTGATAATCATCATGACGCATCTCAGCATCACCAGTGAGCGTCACGATGCATCCTCAGCATCACCAGCAGTCATCATGTTAATCATGTCCACGCATCCTCGGCATCGCTAGCAGTCATAACGAGAATCATGTCCACGCATCTTCTGCATCTCCAAGGGTGCCTAACGGGACACTTGAAACGTATAGAAGAAAGAGATGTTGATGACAATCATGATGAGCATGATTGTGTTGATAATCATCATGACGCATCCTCAGCATCCCCAGTAATCATCACGACGCATCCTCAGCGTCACCAGCAGTCATCGTGATAATCATGTCCACGCATCCTCAGCATCACCAACAGTCATCATAATAATCATGTCCACACATCTTCTGCATCTCCAATGCTGCTAACGGGACACTTGAAACGTATAGAAGAAAGAGATGATGAATGACAAGCATGATGAGCATGATTGTGTTGACGATAATAAGACTTCACCAGTAATCATCACGACGCATCCTCAGCATCACCTATCATCACAGCATCCTCTGCATTACCAAAGCTGCCAAGGACTGTCATGAACACGATGATGAAGGTGACGACTGTGATGACAAATCATGAAGCAGATGATAAGGATGATGACATTTCATGATAACTATCGTCGTAGCACCCTCTGCATGACCAAAGCTGCCGATGGCTGTCATGATAATTTTCATCGTAGCATCCTCTGCATTACCAATGCTGCAGAATTAGAGATCATGATAATCGTACAGAGAATGATGATAAGGATGACGACTGTCATGATAAGCATCATCGCAACACCCTCTGCATTACCAATGGATGAAGGTGATGACTGTGATGACAGTCATGAAGCAGATGATAAGGATGTTGACATTTCATGATAGTAGCACCCTCTGCATTACCAAAGCTGCCGATGACTGTCATGATAACTATCATCGTAGCATCCTCTGCATTACCAATGCTACAGAATCAGAGATCATGATGGTCATACGGACAATGATGATAAGGATGACGACTGTCATGATAAGCATCATCGCAGCATCCTCTGCAACACCAATGGTGCCTAACGCTACATGTGAAATGTATAGAAGAAAGAGATGATGATGACAATCACGATGACGATGATGAAGGTGATGACTGTGATGATCATCATCATGAAGATGATAAGGATGATGACTCTCATGATAACTATCATCATTGCATCTTCTGCATTACCAAAGCTGCCGATGACTTGAAACGTATATGAAAAAATCAGAGCGCCGCGGTTTTGATGATGAACATGATGAGGAACAGAAGCATCGCTACGCATCGCCGGCATCTCCAACTGTGCCCAACATGACTTTTGAAATGTGTATAATAAGAATACAAAGGAGATGCTCATCGCTACGTAGCCACAGCATCGCCAGCAACGTCTCCAGCAGCGATGATCCGGATGATGATAATCATCACTGCGCATTTGTAGCATCTCCAGCAGCGATATGATAATCATCATCACGCATCTCCAGCACCTCCAGCAGAGCAGGATGATGATAATCATTACTGAGGATGATGACCGTCGCTACGCATCAGCAGTAGCGACGAGGATAATCATCGCAGCGCCACACTGGATGATGACGGTGAGAATGATGATGATGATCATGGGCCTAGCGAGCCAATTCCAACAGCTGTCAACGAGCACGTGCTCATCCGAGCAAGTTTTGGATGAGCATGGTCCAACGCAAATTTAACTGTCGTCGTAGTATCGCCTGCATCACCAACGCATCCTATGCATCACCAATTGGGCTAAGAAATTGTGATCGTGAGTATCATCGTAGCATCCTCTGCATCACCAATTGAGCCTAACGCCACACTTCAACCAATACTGGATGATGATGGTGATGATGATGATGATGCTCCTGGCGCGTGTTGCGGGCCAATATGCTCATCCGAGCAAGTTTCGGATGAGCATGGTCCAAAGCCAACTTGATGGTCATCGTAGCAGTTTCTGCATCACCAATGCATCCTGTGCATCACCAATTGAAAGAAAAGAAAAAAGGATGCTGATGACCGGCATGATGACGACGGTGATGATGACGGCCCAGCTGTCATCATGATAATCATGTAACTGTCCAGCAATCCTCATGATAATCATGTCCACACATCTTTTGCATTTCAAATCGGATGACAATCATCATGACGCATCCTCAGCATCACCAGCAGTCATCATGATATTCATGTCCACGCATCTTTTGCATCTAGCTTGTTCATCTGTGCACAATTGAAGTCGAAAAAAGACATGATGATGAGCATCGTGATGACGATCTTGTTGCCACCCTGCCCGTGCGCCTCCCCTTTGGAGAAGGGGTCGGCGGATTTGCGTGCTCCCTACTTGTTGACACTGGGCTGAGTTTTCGTGAAAGTCCAACTCGTGTTTCGTTTGAATCAGACTGCAGCTTCACTGCAACCTGCCCAGCATTGGCTTGCCTTGAAACAGTGTCTATTTGTTGGAGCGCAGCGGAATTTCTCACTTGCTTTCTGCTTGGCCAACTTTGGTGCGGTGCCCGTGACCCGTCTTCAGCTTGAAATTGCATGTCACAGAAATCACAGAAATTGCAGGAGAAAGAGAAGACCGAAGCGTGATGCGCGCTGTCCCTTGGCATGCAGCAATGACGGAGTGGAAATGTAGTAGAGGCCCCAGGTATACCCGGCACACAATGCTTGAATCACCACCTACCTGGCCGCCTTTCCTGCTGGGCAGACCGAGGCTTGAGCGTGATGATTTCCACGTTTTCACAATTTTCGCAATGATTGGCTTTGAAAAGTTCGAGTGTTTCGCCCAATGCCAGCGCAGCAAGAGAGGGTGCGGTGTTGATGCTCATGATCATGGATTGTGGTCTGGCCGCAGCACCAAGTCAATGCTGCACAGCATTCAATCGGAGGTGCTTAGGGCGGATCGCAGCATTCATTCTCATCCTGACCACTTGCAGTCAATTAGACACTGCTGTTAACTCACGTGTCCGAAGTTCCGCGCAACCTCTCCTGTACACAGAGTCCATTCCTAGTTGGAATGATATGAGGCGTGGCAGGCAGCACCTTGAAAGTTGAGATGTCTATCACACGTTGGACGCCTTCGGCCATATGCACAATCAGAGTGGGCAGGTGTCTGCTTGGCGTTTGTCCGCCTGCCACTTGCTCCGAATTCATAACATGAGCAATGGTGAATGTTTGCAGTCATGAATTGCAGCAACGGGTATGACACTCGCCGATCTACTGTCCATGTCACCAGGGGCCACAATGCAAATTAAGCACAGCTGAAATGGCATCGATGAGGGAGAGAAGCCCAAGGTGCTAGCGGCCACGCTTTTTTGTACACAGACATGGGTGTCCTTCCCCTTCCCAGGCGACTTTGCATCATTCATTGTCGAGTCTCAACATGATTGTGTTTGGCCATTGTGCGTTCCATCATCGAATTTCTACATTACTTGAGATGCCTGAACTACTGAGTACAGTGCACTACAGTGTGTTCATATTGATGAGGTGGTGTCGGGTTTTGCGCGTGCACAGATAGTTTCTTACTTGGAATGCTTCGGACAATTCCACTCTGTGGCCTTTCTAAATTAATTTTGTATTCAAGGGCTTCGCTCTTTACCAGCCACGCTGGGTAATAGCCTGCATGATTGGGGAGTCCCAGCCTAGTCTCGTGAGGTGCCTTGGACGTTTGTGGACCATTTAGTGACAGTCATATGATTGGAATGAGTGAATGGCTCTGGCTTGTTGGACTCAGTGGACCGATGGGCGAGGCCCATCGGAAGGAACAAAGCTTGCAAACATCGTTTTCATCCAGAGGGTAGGTATGGAGGTGAGAGTGTCTATGGGCGGATGTTGGGTTGAAATGGGGCTGCTGTGAGTGGAGCATAGAGGCACACGAAACTCATTCATTAGACTGCTCTGATGAAGCCGTCTAGTCATCGAGGGACACAACTCGTCCACTATTTGCGTGACTGCTAATTCGAAAACAAGCCCAGCTTAAGCAAAGTAGCATTGGCTAACAACAACAGCTCAGAAACGACTCAGGTGACCACCCTTCAAGGGCGCTCCCCCGCGCCGAAGGTCGGCGGATAAGATGCTGCGCAGCTTTGTTGATTTGTTCGCTTGGGCAAGGATCCGGGTGTACTGGTTCCTCGAGGGTGCACCGACACAGGCTACGGCTTTGTGGCCGTCAATTCGAAGCATCCCATTGTCATCCTTCATAATTTCTACCACAAAGCCTTCGATTCAGAGGCATGCATTACGAAGTACGGCCACTCCAATCAGCTTGGACCCTTCCGAGAAGCGACGTGCGCCGGAACCCAAGTCCCGCTTATTCCTCGAGCCTGCGAGAGTTGTCAGCAAGACACAAATCGACCGAGAGAATAGAATGAAGGGACAAAGCATCATACTAGTTGCATGATTGCATGATTTCGAGACACACTCACATACACTCATTGGCAGGCTCTCTGCTTTGGGCCTAGACCCGGCCAATGCTCCGCAGCCAGCGGATGTGAAGCGAGCCTTTAGGCAGTTTTCTTGCTTTTCTCTTAGTGGACTTGTTGGAGCAGATGTGTTGGGCACGGTCTTCCATCTGCAACAGCACATGCAGGCGCAAAGTGGCGCGTCTCCATCCAGATGTGAAAGGCCTGAAGCAGTCACGCGCTCGCTTGCTTCAAGATTCACATTCCGATTTTAGGTGGAAAAGCATCAGCTCAGTTTCGAGAAGTTCTTGATGCTTATGCACTGTTGACTGGGCGGCGCCGTGACCTTGGGTCTGCATTGCCAATCCTTCACTGCTCCTTTTGCTGCAAACTTTGAAGCCTCCGGCTCAGGCCCCGGGCCACACGCAGCTGATGTGTCCCACCCCACAAACCCCCTTTGCGACCTTAAGGTGCTCAGAGTCGATGAAATTTATGAGCGTTACGTGTAAGCCATGCCGAACCCGGTATGAATGCCTTCACCGCAATGTTTGGCTGACGGATCCCTTTTGCTTCTTTGCCCGGGGCACATGGCCAAATTTGGCAAGGGCCTGCTAGCTGTGCCATAACCATCCGCAATTGACACAATTTACATAACGAGCAATGACAAAGGTTGAAAGAGCTTGAAAGGAGCTGCATGTACGGGGGGAGTTGAACCCCTGGCCTCTTATAGGTTGACGTTGCCAGAAGCTTGTCAGGCCAAATTGGCAGTGCCTGCATCCAAAGGGCGACTTCACCAACAGCATCCGGTTTCAGGTTGACCTGGTTTGTTTTGTCAAATTATAGCCTTGCGAAGCGCGTTTGCTCCACCGTTGCATTGGATTGAACAGCAATATGCACGAAGGTTTCTGTGACGCAGTTCCTTGACTGAGGCACTTCGCTTGCAACTTCAACGCCCTCCTCAGATACACCCTTCTCAGAGCAGGGCGCTTGATTCAGTTGAAAGCAAGCTAGAAGGAGTTTAGTACGGAGCATGCAATGGAGCCCATTCATGATCATGAAAAGTCACAAATTGAGCTGTGCACTCTCAAGGACCCCAATGGACCCCAATAAGCCTGGCATTGTCCTGAGGATTGTTAAGACACGTGGACCGACGGAGGAAGAACAGGAGGCAGAGTTTCAAAGGCCATGCCATGCTCGTGCGCGTCGTCACTTCATCCTGGCAATTTCCAGATTCTGAGGCCCCCATGGTTGGTGGTGAAAAAACCTGGGAGCAGCCCTCTCCCGACCTGCTCCTGAATGTACTGGAGCTGCAGGCCAGAAAATTGGCGGTGGAATCAGAATACCGGCTACAATCCTGGTGACCTGGACGAGGTCCGTCAATCCTTGCGAGCACTGTTTATAGCTCTGCTGAAGGCAACTTGAAAGCTTTGCAGGTATGGGATGAGATTGGCTACAATCCATACACTGGAGAGCCCTGACAGCAATGCACGACCTGCGCATCAGAATTAGATCACTGCCTGGAGACTCTTAAAAGCGGTTGCCGTGCAAGGAATACCGAACGCCTCCAGAGCGTCCGGAGGAGCAGGAGCATGTTAGAGGGGGAAAGAATGTGCGTGCTCGGCATCCTCAAGCCAGGAGTGGGTGCCACCTCCATCATGGACCGTAAGTCGGAATCTTACGCCGTAGTGTGACACCGGCTTCCAATCTTCCCTTGGGATGGCTCAGGGACACCGTCTTCGCCACCTCCTCCACAGCCTGCGCCAACACCTAGGCAATGCAAATCTGTGCGGACTGGTGATTTTGGTGCAGCACATACTGGCATTTTGACTGTGTTTCAACTATGCTGCAATCCTGAAGGCGGCGCAGTGCCAAAGCTCGAGTTCAAACCTGAGCAGAGACGTGCAAAGGTCAACCATTCAGAGATGATGAAAGCTGAAGCCGCTCAATTGTGCAAGGGAATGGAGTATGCGCAGCTTCCGACGGTTGAGATCTTGGGATACTTTCTGCTGGCAGCAGTGCCGCTGCCTGAGGTGCAACAGGAAGATAGTCAGCTTTCTTGTTTGCTCGGAACTGCCACCAGGTGTATTTTCTTGGCTCTTTCTCCTGAACTCTTGCTTTGGCCTGAGCTGATCTCTGATATTTGTTTACACAGATCCACGTGCACAGTCTCAGGCTTTCGGAGGAGGACAAAGCACGATATTTGGAACAGCAAGAGCAAAGGGCAAGACTGGAATTCCAGCGCCGGCAAGAGTTGCTTGTCTACATATGCATTCGTTTCAACATGCAAATCCGGAAGCCACCCCGTGATTTAGGAGAGCTGCGCTTGAAATCCTTTGGCGACAGCGCCAGTTCAAGTGGCAGCAGGAGCAAATGCGGGCACGCGGCCGAGCTGCGGGATGTACCGCGGTTGTGTAGCACACAAACTGATCAAGCCGATATCAATTGTCGCTCGATTGTCAGAAAGTGTGCACTTTTGTTTTGGTGTTGAGAGCTCCTAGCGCCACTGGTGCTCTGCACAGGGCTTTGCGGAGTACAGCGAGGCCGACGAGCCGAAGACTTGGGAACCGATGGCATGGCTGAGTGTGCGGATGGTCGGGTTGCTCGATAGGTCAGATTTCACAGCCAAGGCCTGCGGGCGATGGGCTTGATGAAATCCCACTTGGAGGATGACTGGATCACTTGCGACAAAGCTCGCACGTGTGCAGAGATATTACTTCGCCAACTAGGCTCTCATTTTCCGCTTTACCAAATGCGCGCATGTGTTTTTTTCGCCTTTCGACAGGCACAGGACATGCCACTGTTTCTTGGCTTGGTCATCCTGTTCGCTCAAGGCTTATTACTTGTCCTCAGAAACACCAAGGATCTCATGGGAAGATACCCATCTCAATGTGTAGGACATTTTCGGTCGCTGTGCAGAGGAGAAAGGTCATGGTGTGAGAGTCTTTCAGCCTCTGACCCGCCCACAGCCCAAGGGTATAAGGGCTTCTCGCTTCCGGTCTGCCGAAATCTTTGCGAGGGGGTGCCCTAACAGCGCAGACAGTAAAGAAAGGTGCGGCACTCGTCAATGACATCCAGGAAGACAATGTCTCGCGGTAGTAGTGGAAGTCTTGCTTCCCGACGAGGCATGCAGGTTTTGGTCTGCGCCCTGGCTTCAAATCGGTTGCCTTCTGTGCATGTTAACGCCCGAGGCGACGCTAACATGTTTTGTTATAGTAGTTATATTCTAGTTGTCGGAATGCCGTGTCCTCCCATTAAACAAAGTACTTAAGTACTTGTCTTTCTAGAGTGTGCACTTCTGGATTCGCTTGACATAAAGTCTTAAGCTATGCTATTGTTGTTGCCATGCAGTTAGTGTTTGAGCCTGACTGAGATAGCGGCATTGCACCATATTCGCTCCGGGGTTTGTTCCATGGCCGGCAAGAGAATCTGTGACTAGAATTGCTTGGGTAGACATTTGGTTGGCTTTGAATGAGCTGACTATGTGGTCAAGACAATCAAGGTTGGAGCTGTTTGCGTGTGCTGGGTGAATCATGAAGAGCAGAATTGGTTGCGTGGCGCGAGCTGAGTCTGGTTGAAACATTTCCATTGTAGAGACGCATGCTCCCCGTAGTAACATTTTGTCTCATTGTCTTTGGCTCTCAGGGATTGCAGTGTACCTCAGTAAGGGAGTTATTCCAATTACAAGGCATGTGTTGATCACTCGTGTGCACTATCCATTGTAGCAACACCAGCAGACTTGGGCAGCAGGTTACACCAGCCTTACTGATTACTGGTTTTAGCCTTCAATTTGTACATCTTCGTGCCTGGCCTGCTTCCAAGCTATCCGTCGCATGTCAGTCTTTGGCAGGTTTGCGCATCAACTCATGCGATTGGAAGTGCCCTCTTAGGGATTGCATATGTCGACGCTGCAAGAGCTTCAGGACAAGGTGCAGCACCTCAATTCCTTACAAGATTGGCATACTTTCTGGTGCAGGTCGCAGACCTTCAAAAGCAAAATGAGATCTTGGGCCCATTCCTTGGTTCGCGTTTGCGGGCGGTGTGCACGTGCAGCTTCTCTCGTGAAGGCATGGAGAACGAGATGCTGGCTGACTATCTTCAGCGAGATGCAGAGAGAACCTCTGGCCTTGAGGACACAGATGAGGCGCTCCTTGCTGCTAGATGTGATTTTGTTGCTGCACTGTAGACTTCATGCGAGCTTTTATATCTCTACCTGCGATTCCGCGGCCTAACAATGCTCCACTTTGTGCACATCACCAGGCCTTGTCTGACCTGCCATCCTCGCCGGTGGACAAAGGCAAAAAGGCGGGCGAGCCATTACTCACCCTTTTGGCCCCATGCGCCCCGGGGATTTTTGTCCACCAGGGTCCGCCAAAAGCAACGCTGCGAGCAAGGCAGGCAGCCAAACAAGGAAGCACTCAAGCAAATAAAGCAAGCAAACACTCAAGCAGACAAGCAATCACACAAGCAAAGCAAGCCAGAAGGCCAGCCAGCAAGTAAACAAGTAAGCAAGGAAGGGATGGAAGGGATGGAAGGAAGGGAAGGGAAGGGAAGGGAAGGGAGGAACGAAGGGAGGAAGAAAGGGAGGGAGGAAGGAAGGAAGGAAGGAAGGAAGCAAGGAAGGAATCAGGCAAGCAAGAAGAAAGGCAAGCCGGCACGCACCCTAAACAGCCCCTTGTCAAATCTGCAAGCCCACCCTGAATCAACCCGAAACTTTGAACCAAACTAAACTGATCTCTTAACCAGCTTTCTAAGCCCATCCTAAACCCACCCTAAGCAGAATACACATGCTAACAGCTTAAGCAAAGCATGGGGCAGCCCTAGAGCGAACCCTACATCCACCCCAAACCAGTCCGAAGTCCTTAACCAGCCGCAAACCCTAGCACAAAACCTAAACCAAGCCTAGACCGAACATGAACACACCCCAACTAAACGAGCAAAGCCAACCCAAGCAGGTCTAGCATAAGCCATTTTGCAATGCTTGCATAAGAAAGGACGTGGGAAAATGAGTGCCAGTGGGTTCTGCTTGCCTAGACGCACAAGAGAAGCCCGCAACCGGGAAGGTCAACCGACCGCAAACCCGACCAAAACAAAGCCTAAGCATGTGGACCAAAAGTTCCCGGCGCAAAGTGACCCCAAAAAGGTGAGGGCACCACAGTACCTTTCCATGATATTTCCTCAAGTGACATGAACCAAGGCTGCCAAGGGCAGGGGTCAGCAACAGCTGCTTCCTTAGAGCTGAGAATATCAGCCCCAGAATTGGCTTGTCACTGTGCACAGTTTCGTTCAAGGCATGCTGTTCCTAGTATCTTTTAGGCGGCGACAGTTGCCAACCGCACTGACGTTGGAGGACCCACATGACAACATGTGATGGAAGCGTGACAGATGGCTGACATGGCCAATGTACAGGACAAGTTCCGCATAGCCAACCAGGAGGCGTGACACATGACACATTACACACTTGGAAGTTACGTTTCACGCGCTGCAGATGGAAGCCTTGACAAAGGACATTGCGGGAGCCTAAGGAATCCCAAGGGCCAGCAGAAGCACAACCATGCTAGTATCCTTTGGCATGTGGAGATCCATCAGATGCATTTTGAGACCGTCTGCACGGGACGAGCACTGCTTCAGTTGGCAGTCCGGATGAAACATGATTGGTGGGAAATTGGTTTTTTATGGGTCGCCTGGATCTCAATGAACAAACATGGCGAGCCAGCAGTAGCTTTTCGAGAATGCTTCCGGACTTAGAGCCATGGAACTTGCAGCGGGCAAGTGGCGGAACTTTGCGCCCAGAGCTCCTGCCACAGCCGGGCTGCTGTGCCTCCCATGCGAGGTGCGCCTTGCGCGCCTGGCGCGCCTGGCGTCCCTTCTGTGCCCCGGCTTTCTGCATCGTGGCCCAGCTGGCCAGGGTGCGGTCGCGGCGGTCGGTGCGGTCACCTCGCCAAAGAAGCGCTGAATGGACCCCCCCGAAGCGTCGATCTTTGAAGGGCAGGCAGTCAGATGCGAAGCAGTCGGAGGCGCCCAACCGTCAGGCTGGAACCTGCGAACCTTGATAACTGACGTAGGGTGATTACCATGATGGTTTGGATGTTTGATGCAAATGAGTGCTTTGATGCCAGCGAGAATGTCCTTTGGTACGGAGGGCAGCCCCTTCCAATAGCCATTCCATTGAGACACCTTGGATCAAAAGGGTGCAGAAAGAGCGTGTACTTCAACCAATGTCAATGCAGCTTGCCAGTCTGCCAGGCCAATTATGTGGAGCTGCCATGCTTTTCTATGCGAGATCCTTATGCTTCCCTGCTGCATCATGGCCGCATAGGTTCTTCCCGTGCCAAGACATGTTCGGGCGACTCTGACTGATATCGCCAACAACTGCCAACCACCACTGCCACCACTGCCACCACTGCCACCACTGCCACCA